AGAAATAATCCCCCCGTGCTTATACGTTTTGATTAGACTTTTCACAACTGACTGTGTTCTGCACAGAACGTGCTTTCTATTCAACAGGTGATCTAAACGAAACCACAGATAAGAATTAATAGCTTATCATCCACCACTTAAAGCCTATAGAATGTATTATGTTGCATGACTATAATTATATGTCTTTGGACATGAGCTGTATGAGATACAATGTCTCTTACATAATTAATTCAGCTGGTGTACGAAACAACACAACGCTTTCAGTGTGTTACAGTTGTTAGTTACGTAATTAACAAAGCATGTACTTTGTTTTCTTCCAACTTGTATGTATAATACTTTATTTTTAGTAAAAAAGAAAAATAAAGAAAACAGAATCTGTGATGTCCTAAGTCTATAGACAGTTCAGTTGAACTTTACAACTAGTATCTTTGAAGTAATTATCTTTGTGTGAGACGGGGGGGGGGGTGGCAACGAAGGCTTTATTATTATGGCACCCAGGTTCTGCCAATGTCTGGGCCGATTTATCAACCCTAAAACTTTTTATGTGTGAAACATAACCCAGATTACTGTGTTAACTCTAATACTTTTTATGTGTGAAACAGAACTCAGATTACTAATATATTTTGCGTGAAACAAACAAATAAAATAAGCTATTCCGAGACAAACTTTTTTTTATGATAATCAGAAACTTTCAGAATACCGCAACTGTTTGTTTATTTCTATCTTATGTAATACAGTAAAAAGAAAATATTTTTCAATATTCAAGAAATTACTGCAGGCCCGCACACAGAACATTTGAAAGAGCCCCTCAGTGGCACAGCGGTATGCCTGCGGATTTACAACGCTAGAATCCTGGTTTCGATACCCGTGGGGGCAGAGCAAAGATAGCCCATTGTGTAGCTTTGTGCTTAATTACAAACAAATAAACAAACATTTGAAAGAACAATCAGCATGCTAATGGTACGGGGGGCCTGGAGGCAGCTCTCTCCAAGAATTTTTTTTAAAAATAGGTGCTACGAGATTAAATCTGGAAGCAATTTTGCATGAAAAAATTTAAACAATTGCATGGCTGTTCACATAAAATCCACAAACACCTCAGTTAATTATTCAGCTAGCAGGGAGCAGATGCCAAACGTTCACAGAAATATGAATTTAGTGGCAGTGTGGCAAAGAGTTTCACTAACAATATATTTGATACCTTGAAATACACTTTTAAGCAGTCAGCCAGTATCTGTGGCCTGTCCTGGACAGGTATATCTTGTCTTCCATCGATGAAGTTCTTCATCAGAATATCAGGATTTGGCAAATCTTTCCTATCAGTATTGCTAGAACTTTGCCTGTCTGATATCAGAGATAGAAAACTCTTGTGTGAGTTTTGATGTTGTACACATCTGTATATAGTCGAATTATGATATCATGTATAAGTATTCATGGATTAAGCACTAACTTTGTAATCTAAAACACCAGACATATGCATAACACAACACAAGGCAGCTATTATAATTGCATGTCAAAGGCTACTATTAGCTACTAATGCAGCAAAGCTACGTAGTACTGTACGTTAGACGTCATGTGCCAATCCTTTTCTTTTGGTGGCAAAACAACATTCGTATATCACTGTAATCAATTTCACATAGTTGCTTCATTCTGTTCACTAAGAAGCGTCGAAGGTCTAGCGTATACTGTGTAGTCTCGCGAGCCATACCCTGACTCGTATAGCGGGTAATTTTCAAATGGGTTTTAAGATTAGTATGATTCTCAGCTCCTTCCTTGTACGAAAATAAAAACCCACAAAAATGCTTAAATATCAAACCTAAAACCTCGTATAGATCTATTTCCAACACAACGACGAAAATTGCTTGTGCTCAAAACCACGTGTAGCTGTTAGATATACATGGCTGTTCTGTTTAAGTTTAATGCGAGCGCTATGATTTGGATAGTTTATACAGCCGGGTTTCATATTTCGTTATTTTTAGAAGTGAGAGTTTATGACAAGTTTGTTTACATAATTCTTCACAAATCATAAGTTGTGTAGCGTGTACGTTCAATTGCTATGAGTTAGTGATTGTTATATTGTTGCATCATATTGCTAGAACTTTCGTAATTTTTCCATTTGTTTTAATTGAGCATTATTGTAATAGAATATTTAGTATTGCGTGGAATGTTCTAGACTTCTGTCAGGGTATTCATATGCGTCGAAAAATTATTATTTAGATTTAGATTGCGTGATTTGGAGTTTAGCGATAAAGAGCATATAGTGGCGGTTTTTAAAATACAATTATCACAGATTGTATTATAATAACAGAGCAGAGAATAATAATTCGTCTTTTCAATTGTGTTCTAAAGTAACTGAACCAGACTATGTGGACTTTGACGAAAAATATAAAATTATTTAAAGCTCTATATGCAACTGTGATAACCAACAGTGAACATTTGTATATACGTTTGACTTATTTTAATATATTATTTTAAAATAAGTGAACTGTTTTGCTGTTTGTTTATTTTTGAAATTTGTCGCCAACAAGTCACAGACGCCTGCTGTAAAGAATCTGGCCTACAAAACCCGACAGTAGCAATACGGCTTCGGAATTCCAATTACAAAGAGTGAACAGAAGCCATTGCATGCGACTGTTTCAAGCCGAAAAATACTAACACTTCATCAGAATAATGTAGACTATGTAGAAAATGATAAATACCATAAGCAGCTGCGCTATAACTATATTAAAATATTTTTCCACATCACAAAAACGATTGTGCACTAAAACCCAACAAAATTAACAAACAAATCCGAACAACATTTCACTAAGTGACCAGGAGCCTAGGTGTCTACCAAACAGTAATACTTACTCACTTTACATGCAGAAGGCTGACGGCATCATATCAACGAATTTAAAGTAATGTATCACGTGATTTACTTGGCTTACTCGGTGTTAGGTCCATAAACCAGACAAACACTCCGTGGCTGATTTTTATTTACTCATGGTTGTGTTTTTTTGTTCAAACATACTTCTGGTACTTTAAATTTCATCGTATCACATTTAAATATTTAATAATAAACAAGCCCTAGAAAAAGTTTGTTTGTTTGTTTTGAATTTCGCGCAAAGCTACACGAGGGCTATTTGCGCTAGCCGTCCCTAATTTAGCAGAGTAAGACTAGAGGGCAGGCAGCTAGTCATCACCACCCACCGCCAACTCTTGGGCTACTCTTTTACCAACGAATAGTGGGATTGACCGTCACATTATAACGCCCCCACGGCTAAAAGGGCGAGCATGATTGGTGTGACGGGGATTCGAACCCGTGACCCGCAGATTGCGAGTCGAGCGCCCTAATCACCTGGCCATTCTAGAAAAAGAAAAGTTCAAGACTGATGCAATTCGAAAGGTTTGAAGATTAGTCCTTGTTCACCAGGATCGAAATTGATTTTTTTTAAATTATCCT